ACCCATGCGCAGGCGATGCCCGCGCCCCGATTCCGGGCGCGCGGCTCCGCCTGCGCGTGGCGCGGCCGCGCCCAAACTCAGCCGCAGGGTCGCGGCCGGCCTCCTCGGCCGCGGGGGTCACGTAGCTCTCTGCTTTCCTGTGATGCAGCATGATGAGCATTCTTCTTCTTCTTCTTCTTCTTCTTCTTCTTCTTTTTTTCTTTTTTTTCAATGCAACATGATGAGCATTCTTAATTGTAGTCTATCTGTTCTCCTGTCCTCCTTGTTGTTTCTCGCTTGCAGTATTGCATTGCCAGTGGGCGGCATATGGTCTTGAATAATTGGTCTAATTGCCCTTTCTGCCGATTCCCTGCCTTGGCTTCCGAGCTTTTAAAAGTAAGTGCCCTTAGCAGCAAACCTCTGCTTTCACCAATTTCTCGTGTTGCTTTTCTTCTTTCTAAAAAGGGCGACGGCTTAGGCTAAGGATATCATCATCGTGCAACCGACCGGCCCCAAGTAATTCAGGAATTCATTCAACAGGGTCGATCGGGATTCGAACATAGTAGGTCGAAAATTTCACGAAAATTTCACCAGTTCATGGGTGTACCCACTGAGCTAGGCCCTTTGGTTCTTGTTCATTTTCTAGTCTTTCTCGAGGCAGAGAGACTTGAAAGGTAGCTGAGAGCAATCTATGGTTTTCTTTAGGATGAGTTGATGATTTGGGGGCTTGTGTTCATAACTAACTGCGGTACTTTATTACTCTATCTCGTCTGACAGCAGGCACTTCTTTATGAATTGTTACGATCCTCGTCATTTCCAAAGTGCAAATTCACAAGGAACAATGCCACCCAATTGCGAAAGAAATTAAGGCACTTGCAAAGAGATAGAGACCAAAGAGGGGAGAAATAATAATAATAATAATAATAATAATAATAATAATAATAATAATAATAATAATAATATAAATTTATAATGATAATAATAGAAGACCGAACCTAAAAGCTTTTTTTTTTTGGGGGGGGAGATGTAGGCACATTGCTGCCATCAGGATTTGTGCAATCAGACTCGCTTTCATTCACAATTCTCATGCATGCACACAGGTTGCGCAGCAAACTGGCAACAAGCGCCCACTCAGACTCAGAGATATGGTAATCAAGAACACAGTTCAGATGCAATCTCACTTCAGCTGGCTATGGCGCATCAGCGCCTGTACAAATCTCTGTTCGTCACTAACACAACGCTGCTGTTCACACAGCGGATCACCCTGGATATCCCACACGCAACACCCTGTACACTGGCACACACCCGCACACACCTACAGCTATGGCGGCTATGGCCGCTGCTACTCTATCGCTATGGCTAACTTCCTTCTCGCCCACTTCGTCCTCGGGCTCGCACAAGTCGCTGTGGCAGCGCTTCCGCATGGCTCACGCAGGAAATGAATGAATGGCTGGGCGCTGCCTCTTGATTTATACTTCTGTAACTCGCTGGTCTGCCCTTTTCCATCGGCCCATGGTGCACACAGTCCCTCATGGTACTTGCTGGACTGGACTGGGACTGACTGGACCGGTACCGCTGACTGCATGGGTTTGCACCGCATGCTCTCTGCAGTCGCACTGCCAACGTACTGAGGTTGGCTCCACCACTTGCCCACTTGCCTCTGTCTAAACGTGAGCCCACTCCGAAAGGCCACTTCCTGGACCTTCCGGAAGTCTGTGGACTTGGCCTTTCGGGTACTGTAGCAGCTACGACCTTGACCTTTCAGGACTGTAGCAGCTACGACCTTGACCTTTCAGAATACCTATAGCTGCGACCTCTACAGAGCTGGAACTCCTACTTGACAGATCTACAGATCAAACCCCTACCACTACACAGACCTTTTTT